CTTGATTACTCTTTAGCAAGACCTGCTTATAGAAAACACCAGGCTTATCAATTTGTGAGTAGGAAGCAGAGGATACTGTTGGTGTCCCAGTCTTCTGTTCGGCTACCTCAGGGGCAGATGAAATTTTTAGAGCATTTTCTAGATTACTGTCTAGCAACTTGTATTGATAGAAAATGCTGGGTTTATCTTTATATGAATAGGAAGCAGAAGTTACAGTTGGTATACCAGATATCTGGTCAGCTGGTCCAGAAATGGTTGAAATTTTGAGAGTCTCTTCAGGAAGATGACTATCTGACGGGACCTGCTGGTAGGAAACAGGCTTTTCTCTATGTGAATAAGAAACAGAGGTTACTGACGGTATCCTGGTCTTCTGATCAGCTGGTCCTGGGACAAAAGACTCTTCCAGAGACTTTTCTCTTGTATGACTATCTGGCAACTCCTGTTGATAGAAAACACTGGGCTTTTCTCTATGTGAGCGAGAAATAGAAGATACTGCTGGTATCCCAGTTTTCTGGTCAGCTAATCCATAAAAAGCTGATGCTTTCAAAGGCTCTTTAGTTGTATAAATGTCTGACAAGGTCTGTTGGTAGGAAATACCAGGTTTCTCTCTCTGTGAGTAAAAATCAGAATGTGTTGTTAGTATCTTGGTCTTCAGGTCATCAGGTCCACGAGCAGTGGAAGTTTTTAGAGTCTCTTCAGTTAGATGACTTTGCGGCAACTCTTGCTGGTAAAAACTGCTATTCTCTCTAAGTAAATTGGAAGTAGAGGGGACAGTTACTGTCCGTGCCTTCTGGTCAATACCAGGAATAGCTAGAACTTTCAGATTCTTATCAGTTAAATGACTTTCCGGCAAGGCCTGCAGATTCAAAGCATAGGACTTTTTTCCAGGTGAGTAGGAAGTAGGGGATACTGTAGTTATTCTACTCTTTTGTTCAGCTGGCTTGGGAGCCACTGAAACTTTCAGAGTTTCCTCAGTTAGCTGATTGTCTGGCAAAGCCTGCTGGTAGAAAAGATCAGGCTTATCTTTTTGTGAATAGGAGGGAGAGGTTATATTCTGTATACCAGTCTTCTGGTTCGCTGATCCAGGGATAGCCGAAACTTTCAGCGACTGTTCAGATGGATGACCATCTGGCAAGCCCTCTTGGTATAAACTACTGGGCTTCTTTCTTTGTAAATAAGAAGCAGAGGTTATATGTGGTGTCCTACTCTTCTGGTCAGGTGGCCCAAGAACACCTGAAAGTTTTAGAGTCTCTTCAGTTAAATGACTCTCTGGCAACTCTTCTTGGTAGAAAATACCAGATTCCTCTCTATGTGAGGAGGGAGTAGTTCTTATAGTTGATATCCCGGTCTTTTGGTCTAGTGCTCCAGGAATAGCTGAAACTTTTACACCCTCTTCAGTTTGATAACTACCTGGCAATTCCTGCTGATAGAAAATACTGGGTTTTTCTTTATTTGAGTAAGAAGAGGGGACTGTTGTTGTCTCAGTCTTCTGATCAGCTGGTCTAAGGACAGCTGAAACAGTCAGTGACTGATCTGTTAGATGGCCACCTGGCAAGCTCTCTTGGTACAAAACATTGGGCTTCTCATCATGTGGGTAGGAAGTAGAAGGTTCTGTTGGTAACCCAGTCTTCTGGTCAGGTGGTTCAGTAATATGTGAGACTTTCAGACTTGCTGCAGTTTGATGACTGTCTGGCCAGGCCTTTTGATTTAGAGTATCAACAAGCTGACCAGTAGTATTTTTTTGAGAATTTACAGCCAACTGAGGCAAACCCTCAGAGGATAAGGATAAATGGGATCCAATATCTGAATCTCCAGAAGTGGTAATGCCTGACTGCAACTTGGGTTGAATAATCTCAACTATGTCTTCTTTAGAGGTGCCTCCTAAAGAAAAAGATATCTGTTAATATTATATACTTAATTTTTTAAAAAAAGTTTTTTACACTGAAAAAATAAGCCAACCACATTGAGCCATTAGCTTTTAGAAATGAATCCCAAGGAAATAATCATCAAAGGAGATAAATGTACATTAATCACAAAGCAAACTAAAACGAAAATAATCAACAATAGGATAATGGTTTAAAATAACAATACATCTACTTACCTACTATAGGATTACACAGATCTTAAAATTCAGATTTTTAACGAATTTTCAATGGAATGGGAAAATGCTATGGAGTCTGGGATTTGATTTCATTCTACTTACAAGCTAATAATCTGTTGTGTCAGGAATGCTGGTAGAAGACATAATTTCCTTAGAGACAAAGACTTGATCATCCGTGGTATAACAAAGGATCATCACCTTATTTTCAAGGGCTTCTTATGCCCTTAAATCCCATGGGAGCAATGCAATATGGATCAGATGTATGATATCCATGCAATGGGCTTGACTGATTCTCCTTGTATAATGTTTATGTGTGTATGCATGTATGTGTTTGTGCATCTGTATATACATATATAAATAATATCTTACACATAGGTAAATTGAGTTTCTAAGATAACTATGTAACAGTACTTCTCAGCATAGTATCTTGTTAACTTGCAGATTCTAATTCAGCACATCTGAAATAAGACGTGAAATTTCCCATTTTATAAACTTCCTAGTGATACCCAATACTATTGGGTCCTTAGACCAAATTTCTTTCCTTTCTGGGGATACCAGGAATCAGACTCAGGACCTCACGCTTGCCAGGAAGGTGCTATTCCACTGAGCCAAAATCCCACCCCATAGACCAAATTTGTGAGTAGCAAAGATAATTAATTTTTCTAGAGTTGTAGAGTAAATGACAAAATCTGATACCTTAATCCTTCCATTCTAATTCTAAACTCTGAACTACTTCCACTACAACCAACTACCCTGCTCTAAGCCCAATGGTGAGCTTAAAAAAAGTAGCTGTTATGGGTTGAGTAGTGAATTATACAGTAAAGGAGTTGAGGTATCAAGGTTTTTTTGGGTTTTTTTGTTGTTTTTTTTTGGTACTGGCAACTGAACTCAGGACAGGCAGGCACTGTACCACTGAGCTAAATCACTGGGCCAAGGTATCAAGTATTAATTCTGCAAGAAAGCTAAAAGTGGGTAGCTCATGCCTGTAGTCCTAGCAGCTTGGGAGGCTGAGGCAAAAGGATGATAGATTTGGAGGCAGGGAGCGGCAAAGGAAAGGTTAAGGAGGGAAGGGAGGGAGAATGGAGGAACAGGGAATAGAGAGGAGGAGAAGAGGGAAGAGAAGGATAAAAAGGTAGAGAAGGAAGAGGTGAAAAGGTAAAGGAGGAGGAGGAGAAAAGAGGAGAGATAAAAGAGGGGGAAGGAGAGAGGCATGGGAAAAAGAAAAAAGAAAAACTAAAAGTGAAGGAAAATGTGTAACTGCATTGTAGCCTGAGAAGGAATAACAATTAATGAATATCTGTGTGAGGAAATAAAATTGGCTCAAAAAATTAATAGGCCAAAACAAAAAATTTTTTTTGGTGTGTTTTTTTTTTTCTGGTACCAGGAATCGAACTCAAGACCTTGCGCTTGCCAGGCAGGTGCTATGCCGCTGAGCTAAATCCCCAGCCCCTAGACCAAAAAATTTTAACAAGACAAAATAAAATATTAACAAAGTCCCAGCTCTACTCTCAAAGAGTTGGAAGTCATATGGGAAATAAAAACCAGGAACAACTACCATTCTCTCTGTTGGGTACAGTGATTAGAGGGACTGTTTGCAAAAATCAATGGGAACACATATAAAGAATACCTGACTCTCAAGTTGTAGAGAGATGTGGGAACAAGGAAGGATTTCCTAAAGGACATAAGCTAAATGAAAAGATAAAGAGCAGGAGTTGGACAAAGATGGGACATAAAAATGGAGAAAGAAAGTATTCCAAGTAGAGAAAATGGCATCTTCAAGGTCAATGGGACACAAAAATCTAGCATAATGACAGTTCAATATGATTACAGAGGCCAGAGTAAGTATAAGGCTAAAGGTAGGAATTTATCCTGAGGTCAAGCAAAACTTTCAAGCTAGAAGTGACACTATCTAGCCTGCTTTGTAAAAAAGAATATTCTTGCTTCCAATAGAGGATGGGTAGGAGCCCCCCAAAAAATGAACAGTTTTCTATTTCTAATACAATAATCCAAAAGGAAAAAGTCAAAGTATAAAAATCAGAATCAACAGGATTGGATAATTAGGGATAAGAATGAAAGAATACACATTTCTGGCTTGGCTGAAGAAGAAACCATTACACAATGAAAGGAAAATACAGAAGGAAGATTGAAGAGATGACAATTCATTCAACTTTTGAAGTTCTGAAATTAAGTACCTAAGGAACATCCAAATAAAGATGTTCCATAAGTATTTAGGTATAAATATCTGCAGTATAAGACACATCTAGGTAAGTGTCAAAATTACAGAAGTCACTAGCCATCTAAAGCAACTCAAGCCATGGGTACAAATACTAGCTCAAAAGTTAAGATCCTTCCCTGCTCAAAGAATTATTTTCTAACATGTTTCAATAAGCTTCTGTAATGAAGTTGAGGGCAGCCAATACTGTACCATTGAATGGTACTCAACAGAGTTAGGAAGTAGTCATCAGGACTCTTCCAAGCCTTCATTATGTGCCACAGTTTGGAGTGAGCATAAAATAGAAATAAAATACAGTATTCTGAGGAAGAATTTTGATAAAGGAGTGGTGTGTTATGTTTACAAAAAGGTTAAAAGGCAAATCAAAATTTTAAAAATGGGAGAGAACAAGATGGAATGAAACACTCCTCTAAAGAAAGTGGATTTAAGGAAGGTCTTAAAGAGAATGTAGAAATACTGAGAAGAAACTAGCATTCCAAAAGAGGGCAAAGTGTAACTAAAATTGAAATATCACAGGAAAGAATGAATGTGACTCTACAGATACAGAAGTAAATGCAAACAAAAACAAAATAGCTTGACTGGTATAACCAAAATATACATGAAGAAAAATTAAATTTGGATACATTGAAGGTCAGGAATCAGAGGAGAAAAGAAGACATCATTATCAATTAGTTTTAAAGAAGACAAAAGGTAATATAATAATTATGAAAAAAGTTCTAAGTGTTATCACCACAAAAAAATGTGAGGTGATAAATGGGTTAATCAATTTGACTTAGTTATTGAAGAATATATACAGAAATGAAAATATCATGTTTTCAATTTAAAATAATTTTTTAAATAATTTTTTAAAACACCTACAGAAATTTGTAATACTTAAGACAATGTAACACTGGTGCAAGGACAGACAAGTAAACCAATGGAGAGAATACGGAGCTCAGAAACAGGTTCCCACATATCAGTCACCTGAAATACAACAGAAGTGATTTTAAAGAAAGAAAAACAATACAGCTATGAAAAAAGTCTGCTTGGGTTTAAGCGGTCCAATATTTTATTATGTATGGGGCCTCAGGCAAGTCATTTAACTTCTCTAAGATTCATTTTGTTCAAATATTAAATAGGATAATATCCATAATCACCATCATGAGTCAAATACAGGTAGGTAATGATAATAGGATGATACAATTTATATACTATATAAATACTTTAATAAATAAACCATTTAGCAAAGTGAGCAAGTAATAAATAAATGTTAGTTATTATTAATAGTGTGTAATGGGGTGCATATTTTAGGAGCATTTCATGGCACTGGTGTCCCTGTCTTCCACATACAACATAGGTACAATGGTGCACATTCTGTAGCCTGAGACCCCTGAGCCTATTCAGAGAAAGATCTGATCTTTACCTTTCTTTTCACACCCACACTCCCTCATCTGGTAATTTCTACCAAAAGCTAAAAGATAATTACATCACTTAAAGTCTGGTTTTCCAATATGCAAAAATCTATTATTTAACCTCCACTCCAAAAGAACACAAACTCACTTTTCCTTCTTCCTTCTTGGAAATAAACAAACAGACAACCATAAAGCCTCGGAAAGGGGGAAAATGGATGGATGGCTGGCTAAGGACCTCAGGAAACACAAATAACAGGATGACAGTGAGTTTTCTAGGCTTAATTATCAATTATTTTCTATTTCAGGCTGGACCCTAGAGGGGCCTACAACCTACACTATCACCAGGAATAGGAACAGGGACAGGGACAGATATGACTGGGATAGAATAGGAGAAAGTAAAGGAGTCAAAGAAAAGCCTGCTCTCTGTGGCTCATGGGTCAAACAGCAGGCAACCCATTGGAGTCTTAGCAGACAGTTTCACTTCCCACTTCCCACCTAGTAATAACAAGCAAGTAAGTTTGCTCCATCTACCCCATCCAGCATTTGAGGGAGAAAGGAAGAGAGACGAAGAAAGAAAAAGAAAGAGGGAAAAGAAACAAGAGAATCTTATCAGAGTAAAGTTTAGGTATCATATTAGAATAAACTGTATAAATCAAGTATATTCCGATAGGTTAAAATAAACATTAAAAATCCCAGAAACATTACTAAAGAACGTAACTTTAAAAAACAAGCTAGACAGCCATTAAAGAAATTGTCACTTGAGAAAATATTCACTTAGTGCAATAAAAAGCAATAAAGAAAAGAATGACAAAAAGAAATGACATAGAAAAGTAAACCAGTAAGTTTAAGTTCAATGATATCAACAGCAGTATTAAATGACTAATCACATCAAAAAAGAAATTGCCATTTTTTTAAATTGCATTTAAAAAATAAACTTGAGATGTAACTATACACTTACTACAGAAGATATATTTTATTTTATTTTATTTTATTTTATTTTATTTTATTGGTACCAGGAATCAAACTCAGGACCTTGCACTTGCCAAGCAGGCACTTGTGCCGCTGAGCTGTATCCCCAGCCCCAGAAGATACATTTTAGATCAGTAAGTACAAATTGGTTGAAAGTAATGGGATGAAAAATGATAAACCATACAAG